CTTAGAATCAACTTACTGCCAACAGTCTCTGGTAAACCTACTTAGAATCAACTTACTGCCAACAGTCTCTGGTAAACATACTTAGAATCAACTTACTGCCAACAGTCTCTGGTAAACATTCTTAGAATCAACTTACTGCCAACAGTCTCTGGTAAACACACTTAGAATCAACTTACTGCCAACAGTCTCTGGTAAACATACTTAGAATCAACTTACTGCCAACAGTCTCTGGTAAACACACTTAGAATCAACTTACTGCCAACAGTCTCTGGTAAACACAGTCAACTCTGCCAGCAGTAAACACACTTAGAATCAACTTACTGCCAACAGTCTCTGGTAAACATACTTAGAATCAACTTACTGCCAACAGTCTCTGGTAAACACACTTAGAATCAACTTACTGCCAACAGTCTCTGGTAAACATACTTAGAATCAACTTACTGCCAACAGTCTCTGGTAAACACACTTAGAATCAACTTATTGCCAACAGTCTCTGGTAAACACACTTAGAATCAACTTACTGCCAACAGTCTCTGGTAAACACACTTAGAATCAACTTACTGCCAACAGTCTCTGGTAAACACACTTAGAATCAACTTACTGCCAACAGTCTCTGGTAAACATACTTAGAATCAACTTACTGCCAACAGTCTCTGGTAAACACACTTAGAATCAACTTACTGCCAACAGTCTCTGGTAAACATACTTAGAATCAACTTACTGCCAACAGTCTCTGGTAAACACACTTAGAATCAACTTACTGCCAACAGTCTCTGGTAAACATACTTAGAATCAACTTACTGCCAACAGTCTCTGGTAAAACACACTTAGAATCAACTTACTGCCAACAGTCTCTGGTAAACATACTTAGAATCAACTTACTGCCATCAGTCTCTGGTAAACATACTTAGAATCAACTTACTGCCAACAGTCTCTGGTAAACACACTTAGAATCAACTTACTGCCAACAGTCTCTGGTAAACATACATAGAATCAACTTACTGCCAACAGTCTCTGGTAAACATACTTAGAATCAACTTACTGCCAACAGTCTCTGGTAAACATACTTAGAATCAACTTAGTCAGTCTGGTAAACATACTTAGAATCAACTTACTGCCAACAGTCTCTGGTAAAACACACAAATCAACTTACTGCCAACAGTCTCTGGTAAACACACTTAGAATCAACTTACTGCCAACAGTCTCTGGTAAACACACTTAGAATCAACTTACTGCCAACAGTCTCTGGTAAACACACTTAGAATCAACTTACTGCCAACAGTCTCTGGTAAACACACTTAGAATCAACTTACTGCCAACAGTCTCTGGTAAACATACTTAGAATCAACTTACTGCCATCAGTCTCTGGTAAACACACTTAGAATCAACTTACTGCCAACAGTCTGTAGTAAACACACTTAGAATCAACTTACTGCCAACAGTCTCTGGTAAACATACTTAGAATCAACTTACTGCCAACAGTCTCTGGTAAACATACTTAGAATCAACTTACTGCCAACAGTCTCTGGTCACACTTAGAATAAACACACACTAGAATCAACTTACTGCCAACAGTCTCTGGTAAACCTACTTAGAATCAACTTACTGCCAACAGTCTCTGGTAAACACACTTAGAATCAACTTACTGCCAACAGTCTCTGGTAAACACACTTAGAATCAACTTACTGCCAACAGTCTCTGGTAAACATACTTAGAATCAACTTACTGCCAACAGTCTCTGGTAAACACACTTAGAATCAACTTACTGCCAACAGTCTCTGGTAAACACACTTAGAATCAACTTACTGCCAACAGTCTCTGGTAAACACACTTAGAATCAACTTACTGCCAACCGTCTCTGGTAAACACACTTAGAATCAACTTACTGCCAACAGTCTCTGGTAAACATACTCAGAATCAACTTACTGCCAACAGTCTCTGGTAAACACACTTAGAATCAACTTACTGCCAACAGTCTCTGGTAAACATACATAGAATCAACTTACTGCCAACAGTCTCTGGTAAACATACATAGAATCAACTTACTGCCAACAGTCTCTGGTAAACATACTTAGAATCAACTTACTGCCAACAGTCTCTGGTAAACATACTTAGAATCAACTTACTGCCAACAGTCTCTGGTAAACATACTTAGAATCAACTTACTGCCAACAGTCTCTGGTAAACATACATAGAATCAACTTACTGCCAACAGTCTCTGGTAAACATACTTAGAATCAACTTACTGCCAACAGTCTCTGGTAAACACACTTAGAATCAACTTACTGCCAACAGTCTCTGGTAAACACACTTAGAATCAACTTACTGCCAACAGTCTCTGGTAAACATACATAGAATCAACTTACTGCCAACAGTCTCTGGTAAACATACTTAGAATCAACTTACTGCCAACAGTCTCTGGTAAACACACTTAGAATCAACTTACTGCCAACAGTCTCTGGTAAACCTACTTAGAATCAACTTACTGCCAACAGTCTCTGGTAAACATACTTAGAATCAACTTACTGCCAACAGTCTCTGGTAAACACACTTAGAATCAACTTACTGCCAACAGTCTCTGGTAAACACACTTAGAATCAACTTACTGCCAACAGTCTCTGGTAAACTTACGCCACACTTAGAATCAACTTACTGCCAACAGTCTCTGGTAAACATACTTAGAATCAACTTACTGCCAACAGTCTCTGGTAAACATACTTAGAATCAACTTACTGCCAACAGTCTCTGGTAAACACACTTAGAATCAACTTACTGCCAACAGTCTCTGGTAAACACACTTAGAATCAACTTACTGCCAACAGTCTCTGGTAAACACACTTAGAATCAACTTACTGCCAACAGTCTCTGGTAAACATACTTAGAATCAACTTACTGCCAACAGTCTCTGGTAAACACACTTAGAATCAACTTACTGCCAACAGTCTCTGGTAAACCTACTTAGAATCAACTTACTGCCAACAGTCTCTGGTAAACACACTTAGAATCAACTTACTGCCAACAGTCTCTGGTAAACATACTTAGAATCAACTTACTGCCAACAGTCTCTGGTAAACACACTTAGAATCAACTTACTGCCAACAGTCTCTGGTAAACACACTTAGAATCAACTTACTGCCAACAGTCTCTGGTAAACACACTTAGAATCAACTTACTGCCAACAGTCTCTGGTAAACACACTTAGAATCAACTTACTGCCAGTCAGTCTCTGGTAAACATACTTAGAATCAACTTACTGCCAACAGTCTCTGGTAAACATACTTAGAATCAACTTACTGCCAACAGTCTCTGGTAAACATACTTAGAATCAACTTACTGCCAACAGTCTCTGGTAAACATACTTAGAATCAACTTACTGCCAACAGTCTCTGGTAAACACACTTAGAATCAACTTACTGCCAACAGTCTCTGGTAAACATACTTAGAATCAACTTACTGCCAACAGTCTCTGGTAAACATACTTAGAATCAACTTACTGCCAACAGTCTCTGGTAAACATACTTAGAATCAACTTACTGCCAACAGTCTCTGGTAAACATACTTAGAATCAACTTACTGCCAACAGTCTCTGGTAAACATACATAGAATCAACTTACTGCCAACAGTCTCTGGTAAACACACTTAGAATCAACTTACTGCCAACAGTCTCTGGTAAACATACTTAGAATCAACTTACTGCCAACAGTCTCTGGTAAACACACTTAGAATCAACTTACTGCCAACAGTCTCTGGTAAACATACTTAGAATCAACTTACTGCCAACAGTCTCTGGTAAACACACTTAGAATCAACTTACTGCCAACAGTCTCTGGTAAACACACTTAGAATCAACTTACTGCCAACAGTCTCTGGTAAACAAACTTAGAATCAACTTACTGCCAACAGTCTCTGGTAAACACACTTAGAATCAACTTACTGCCAACAGTCTCTGGTAAACACACTTAGAATCAACTTACTGCCAACAGTCTCTGGTAAACACACTTAGAATCAACTTACTGCCAACAGTCTCTGGTAAACATACTTAGAATCAACTTACTGCTAACAGTCTCTGGTAAACACACTTAGAATCAACTTACTGCCAACAGTCTCTGGTAAACATACTTAGAATCAACTTACTGCCAACAGTCTCTGGTAAACACACTTAGAATCAACTTACTGCCAACAGTCTCTGGTAAACACACTTAGAATCAACTTACTGCCAACAGTCTCTGGTAAACACACTTAGAATCAACTTACTGCCAACAGTCTCTGGTAAACACACTTAGAATCAACTTACTGCCAACAGTCTCTGGTAAACACACTTAGAATCAACTTACTGCCAACAGTCTCTGGTAAACACACTTAGAATCAACTTACTGCCAACAGTCTCTGGTAAACACACTTAGAATCAACTTACTGCCAACAGTCTCTGGTAAACACACTTAGAATCAACTTACTGCCAACAGTCTCTGGTAAACACACTTAGAATCAACTTACTGCCAACAGTCTCTGGTAAACACACTTAGAATCAACTTACTGCCGACAGTCTCTGGTAAACACACTTAGAATCAACTTACTGCCGACAGTCTCTGGTAAACACACTTAGAAGTTAGAATCAACTTACTGCCCGACAGTCTCTGGTAAACACACTTAGAATCAACTTACTGCCGACAGTCTCTGGTAAACACACTTAGAATCAACTTACTGCCGACAGTCTCTGGTAAACACACTTAGAATCAACTTACTGCCAACAGTCTCTGGTAAACACACTTAGAATCAACTTACTGCCAACAGTCTCTGGTAAACATACTTAGAATCAACTTACTGCCAACAGTCTCTGGTAAACACACTTAGAATCAACTTACTGCCAACAGTCTCTGGTAAACATATGCATAAAGTGTCAAGATCTTAATAAACATTTTGATGTGTTGTAAAAGTAGTATCTGGAAATGGGTGATCTGCTGGAAACGTATGACTCACACCTCTCTGTTCATCTGTTTAAGGTGGGAGCCTAGCCAAATATTTATGCAACAATTTACCAAGCCTCAAAACTGACTGGTCTAAATGGCGGATGTTCTTCTGTGATGAACGCTACGTGGATTATAATGATCCTGATTGTACATACAAAGTTTACAAAGAAAATCTGCTGCCAAAGGTTCCCCTCAAGGAGGACAACATCTTTCCAATCAATCCTGATATTCCAGGTGAGTAGTTCTTAAGTTACCTGAACGTAAATCATGTCACAAACACATCAATTAAACAAGAATGTTCAGTGTTTCCCAACATTGTGAGTAATATATATGCTGTTGCAAATGGGTTGACATATGTTGACTTTTCTCACTCCCGTCTAATTCCTATCTACCACCTCATACTCACTCCTGACTAACCCTTCACTCTTCACTTAGTACCGTGTCATTCACCGCCTCCGTGGTGTAGTGGTTAGAGCATCCGCCCAGAGAGTGGAAGGTCGCGGGTTCGATCCCCAGCTGCGTCATACCAAAAGATGTTAAAACATGGTACTTGTTGGTCCCTGCCTTGCGCTCGGCATTAATGGATACAACAAGGACTGGTCGGCTTGGAGTCAGTATAATGTGTCTGAGTGGGGTATTCATGCTTCACTGCGGCATGGTATCTGAGTGGGCTAGCACTATAAAACCAGCTTCAGTCTGGGCTAGTACAAGCAGCCACACATACTCATGCATGCACGTCGTCATATGAGCGAAATATTCTCAAGCACGACGTTTAACCAAATTTCACCTCACCTCACCTCACCTCACCTCACCACCACCTCACCTCACCTCACCTCACCTCACCTCACCTCACCTCACCTCACCTCACCTCACCTCACCTCACCTCAGCAATATTCCAGCTATATGGCGGTGGTCTGTAACTAGTCGAGTCTGGACAAGACAATCCAGTGATCAACAGCATGAACATTGATCTACGCAATTGGGATACGTTGACATGGGTTAACCAAGTCAGCAAGCCTGACCACCCGATCGCTTTGGTCGCCTTATATGGCAGACATGTGTTGCTGAAGACTGATTCCTGGATTACAACACAATGTGTTTCATGTGAGTGTATTCATCACCTGTTTGTTTCAGTGGAAGAGGCTGCTGCTGACTATGTAAGAAAGATCCAGACCGTGTTGCCTGGCGATGGTTTCCCACGCTTTGATTTGCTTCTTCTTGGAATGGGACCTGATGGACACACGTGCTCCCTGTTCCCTAGTCACAAACTCCTGGATGTAAGTGTCAGAGAGCACCGGACCAGATACCCCAATATCTGCATCAGTTCTGTGTTTCTTCCTCTGTTATGCTCTCACGCCGTGAATACTTGTCAAATCTCTCACTCACTGGAGTATACACTTGTATGTTATCAAATTCTGCAGTGTGCGAAATAGCCACTGGCCCGCTAGCCCGTGGCTAGTAAAATTCCAGTCGGGTCAGTAAATCTCGACAGTCACGGGCCCGACTGGCTAGTGAATTTCCATGGGTCATTTTGTAAATATATTACTCTCTCCGACTTGTTAAGTTATAGTACACTTTGAAATCATGCAAGATTATGGCCTGATAAAAATGTTCATCATATTAGCAGCTTAATGATGAAACCCGTGTCATGCCGTCAATATCTTTTTCTCATCTACATGTATATTTCACATTTCGGGCTAGTGAATTAATTTGTGGGCTAGTAAATTTCAGGTATAGCTAGCCCGACTGGCTAGCAAAATTTGGAAACTATTTCGCACACTGATTCTGTAGATTGTGGGTGGCTACCTGTACTGTATAGACAATATATCAATGTATATCGCTGTGTATAAATTCATTTATGGAATGCCTACCCTGCATATAAGGCAATCCCCCTTTCATTCCCTTCTAATTCTAGATACAAAGACCTGTGAAGGTCTGGGTTAGAATATTGGCCTTCAGTAATCCATGCTTGTCGTAAGAGGCGACTAACGGGATCGGGTGACTTGGCTGACACATGTCATCGGTTCCCAATTGCGCAGATCGATTCTCATGTTGTTGATCACTGGATTTTCTGGTCCAGACTCGATTATTTACAGACCACCGCCATATAGCTGGAATATTGCTGAGAGTGGCTTCAAACTAAACTCACTCACTCATTCACTCACTAGATACAAAAAACCTGTCTTCTACATGGCGATATACAGTGTACAGACTAAATGGCAATGTACACAATAGTGAGTCTATGTACAAATGGATGATGACCGAATATACTACTGTACATTATGGACAATATTGTCTGTAGACAATACAGGGGGAAAAATCAATGTCTGATTGGGCCTCTTTCTATCAAAAGGTTGTTGGAATTTTAAACATTTTGAAGATGTTTCTATATATTATGACTTTTCAGGCTATTTTACTTTGTTGGTATATTGCTATTCTTGGAATATGTACCATGTGGACTATTAGGACTATGAAGACAATCTTGAGTGTGACCTATGGACCTATATTCTTTATGTGGACAATATGTACTCTATAGACGGAGTCGACTACATGGACAATATTGACTATATGGATGATATTACAAATTTATAGCTATGTATACAATATGTACTCTATGGACTATGGACTGTGGACTCTATGGACTATATGAACAATGTCGATGATATGGATGATATTAACAATTTATTACTATGTGGACAATTTGTACTCTATGGACTATGGACTCTATGGACTATATGAACAATGTCGATAATATGGATGATATGAACAATTTATTACTATGTGGACAATATGTACTCTATGGACTATGGACTCTATGGACTATATGAACAATGTCGATATGGACGATATTAACAATTTATTACTATGTGGACAATTTGTACTCTATGGACTATGGACACTATGGACTATATGAACAATGTCGATAATATGGATGATATGAACAATTTATTACTATGTGGACAATATGTACTCTATGGACTATGGACTCTGTGGACTATATGAACAATGTCGATATGGACGATATTAACAATTTATAACTATGTGGACAATATGTACTCTATGGACTATGGACTGTATGGACTATATGAACAATGTCGATGATATGGACGATATTAACAATTTATAACTATATGTATGTAGACAATATGTACTCTATGGACTATGGACTCTATGGACTATATGAACAATATCGATGATATGGACGATATTAACAATTTATAACTATGTGGGCAATATGTACTCTATGGACTATTGACTCTATGGACTATATGAACAATATCAATGATATGGATGATATTAATAATTTATAACCATGTGGACAATATGTACTCTATGGACTATATGAACAATATCGATGATATGGACGATATTAACAATTTATAACTATGTGGACAATATGTACTCTATGGACTATGGACTATGTGAACAATATCGATGATATGGATGATAATAACAATTTATAACCATGTGGACAATATGTACTCTATGGACTATTGACTCTATGGACTATATGAACAATATCGATGATATGGATGATATTAACAATTTATAACCATGTGGACAATATGTACTCTATGGACTATGGACTATATGAACAATATCGATGATATGGATGATATTAACAATTTATAACCATGTGGACAATATGTACTCTATGGACTATGGACTATGTGAACAATATCGATGATATGGATGATATTAACAATTTATAACTATGTGGACAATATTGAATATGGACAATGTGGAGTATGTAACTAAATCACTTGAACTGTGGTAAAAGCAGAGTATGGCATTTGTTACTGTAGGTGACACATTATCACGTTCTTCCTCCAGGAGACCAGCCTGATAATTGCACCCATCACTGACTCGCCCAAGCCTCCTCCTGCAAGAGTGACCATGACATATCCTGTTCTCAACAACGCTGCCTGTGCAGTGTTTGCATCATGTGGTGAAGGCAAGGCAGACATGGTACAGGTGAGCTATATGACAAGTCACAGCTCACCTGGAACAGTAGCTTCCACAAGTGTGAAGCATTTAAACAAATGCAGCAGTTCTATTAACAGTCAGGATTTGTAAACTTCCTTGTGTTAAAGTGCAAAAAATGTTACATTCATAACTGCATGGTTGAATATGATCCTGGTAGCTTAACAGCACTATTACCTAAATTATGTATTAATTCTAGACTGCCTCCGTGGTGTAGTGGTTAGAGCGTCCGCCCGGAGAGGGGAAGGTCGCGGGTTCGATCCCCGACCGCGTCTTACCAAAAGATGTTAAAATATGGTACTTGTTGGTCCCTGCCTGGCGCTCGGCATTAATGGGTACAACAAGAACTGGTCGGCTCGGAGTCAGAATAATGTGTCTGAGTGGGGTACTTATGCTTCACTGCGGCATGGTATCTCAGTGGGCTAGCACTATAAGACCAGCTTCAGTCTGGGCTAGTACAAGCGCCGCACTTACAAATAAACACGCATGCACGTCGTCATATGAGCGAAATATTCGCAAGCACGACGTTAAACCCAATTTCACCTCACCTCACATATTAATAATACTTTGCAAAGAGGTTTGTGTTGTAAAGACAGATTTAAATGAACTTTCACTCAAGTAGTCCAGCTGATTTTGTACCAAATGGGCAGTGGAGTAGACTAGGGGTTAAACCGTTTGCTCGTCACGCTGAAGATCGGGTTCGGTTCCCCACATGATTACAATGTGTGAAGCCCCTTTCTGTTGTTACCTGCTGTGATATTGCTGGAATATTGTTAAAAGTTAAAAGACGCATAAGACCAAACTCACTCACTCACTATAGCGCCAGGCACATGTGCTTGAGTATTATTAACATTTTACTGACGAGTCAAACTTTATAAGGAGAAGAAAAGATGAGTTAGGGAAGTGGACATGAAGACATCCTGTTCCATGGAAAGTAATTTTGAGAACTTTGCTTTTCACTGTCATTTTTATTGTTAAAATGTAAGCCCTAATGATATAGAGGGTGACATATAAGAATGAACAGTTGTCATTAAACCTAAGCAGCGTTAAATGCATATTGCTTATAGGTATAAACTCACTCACTCACTCACTCACTCCTCCTCCACTCCACTCCACTCACTCCTCCTCACTCACTCACTCACTCCTCCTCCTCACTCACTCACTCACTCACTCACTCACTCCTCCACTCACTCCTCCTCACCTCACCTCACTCACTCACCACCACCCACCTCACTCACTCACTCACTCACTCCTCCTCCTCACTCACTCACTCCTCCTCCACTCCTCCTCCTCCTCCTCACTCACTCCACTCACTCACTCACTCACTCACTCACTCCTCCTCACTCACTCCTCCACTCACTCACTCACTCACTCACTCACTCACTCACTCACTCTGCTCATATTACAGAAAGTCCTGGAGCCAGCCGCCGGCGACCTGCTACCAGCAGCCCGGGTCAAGCCCACCAATGGGGATGTCGTGTGGTTTCTGGATGCGGCAGCAGCCTCCAAGCTGCAGAATAGGCAATAATCTCACAGAAGGATGGGGTAGCCTAGAGGTCAAAGTGTTGGCTTGTCATGTCAAAAGTCCGGGTTCGATGCCCTGCTCAGTAAACATGTAAAGCCCATTTGTGGTATTCCCTATCGGTTTCTTGCTTCAGTCTTACCAAGAGTAGGGATTTATCGGACGGAAACTACAGCAACCCCCCCACACACACACACACAAAACTGAAATTGAGCACAAAAACTACAGAGTGTTTGCACGCCAGAAATCTATATTGCACGTTAGAAATTCTTTAGATAATCATTTAAAGATTCCACATATATCTGAAAGCTTCAGGATCTGCTAGAGCTATAACTTTGTTGATCCGTTTTTTTTCAATGGATCCTCGTTTATTAACCTTGGGTGCCATCAGTTAGACTCCCTCAGATCTCAGAATTTATTATCCTGGTAAAAGTAGCATTAACCTCTACTTACTCACTCACTCACAGCCATATATAGACAAAAATACTACCGAGGCAAAAAAAAGAACAGAATGTAGTATTTAGCTGTGAAACACTGTGGTGATGGTGGAAATCAGAGGTGCGATATGAGAACCAAATCAACCTGAGAGAAGAACTATTGAATGTTTTTACTTTGTTTATTTTTATTTTATGTTGGGTAGATTGCCTCTATTTTTTTATACCATGGATGCATCTGTGACTGTGCCAGTACATGAGGGTTGTACTATATAGTGTATGTGGTTGTATGATGTACAACAAGACTGGTTGTATGATGTATAGTTTGAGACAATGTGTAACAAGAATACTGAAGGACTGGGGCATAAGTTGGCGATGGTGCCAAAATGTCAGGTACAAATTTGACTGGTTTAAATGTCAAGGTAGGTGGACCTTTTTGGGGCATTCCTGCCACATTAAGTTGTTTTGCTAATGTATAACTTACTGTTGAAGGCACAACTCACTCACTAACATCTGATCTATCACTCAAGAGTGTATGGATATGTATCATTTACATGTATAGGACGATTTGGGGGGGGGTTGCGAGGAGGTTCGGGCAGGATTCTTTTCACCTTGAGGGAAAACAGTATTATATTTGTTCTCTCAAGGCTACCAGACGTACTATTGCGATATTTGAAAAAGTAGCAAAAACATTTCAGGATGCCCTGTTATCAATTTTTGGTGTGTAAAACCCCAAGTAAATTAATATTACAGAGGATTTATGGGATTATGCTTATGTGGGATTATTTCATATTATGACATTCAAGTTTAACACAGCTGATGCTGTTGCTCCCTGGATTGTCTGGTCCGGACTTGATTATTTACAGACCACCACCATATAGCTAGAATATTGCTGAGTGCAGCGTAAAACTAAACTCACTGACTCAGTACTGTGTTAAAGGTTGTCAGGTATATCTGCAGGTTTCATTTCTCCAAGTACATTTGGAGTTATGATACAATGCTGTGTGAAAGCTAAAATTAGTGCTATATTTTTATATTTTGGATATTGATTTGTTTTAAATTTTATGGCAAATTTTATTATTCAGTTATTATTCACTGATTAGTTGCTAGTTTTGTGCACACATTATTTTGTCATGTATTGGGATATTGTAGGCAGATATAAGTCAAGTAGTGTTTAGTGGCATTTACTGTAGATGGGAACTCTGGGATCAGAGAGGATGTATCAGGGATATATATACCAGATGTGTTTATTTAAATACCAAATTTTTTACCATAAAAAATAAGTTGTATGAAATGTAATGTTTTAGATGTTGATAGCATGCAATGAGGGTATCAGTATCAAAGTCTAAAGATGTTGCACAGAGTTGCTTCCCTTAGAGGTTCCAGGATGATAGGTTTTCCAAAATGGTAAATGCTACCTACCTTCAACAGTTCAGGCTTTCCTCGCACATCACTCTGACATCCCAGATATGCCCAGTCAAAGTTGTACTATGACAGCTGTATTTGCCAAAACTGTGTGTTAAATATTTTAAATTATCCAATGCCAACACACCTGAAATTTTATTTGCTTGTTGTCATGATGCCATGTCTAAGGCCCAACAGGGGTGGGTTTCTTTGTTTATCCAAAATCCATTGAACCTGGGTAATATCCCAGATTCACATTCATTGTTTTGTGAGCTCCACACCCTCAAGGGTTTGACCAGCCGGTGAACTGTGGCATTCTGCACCACTTGGAATGTTAATTGTCAAACCAATCTCACTCTTATTGATTTTCTGATAACTATGTTATCTTGCAGGAACAGTTTGTAATTCCTGATATGGCCATGTGCTTGTTAATGTACTTTATTCTTGTTGGTTTGTTTTTGGATTATTTTCTATCACATTATTCTTGATTATTTCAAAATAAATATGAAGTAGTCATATGCCTTGTTTGGAATCATTAATACAGCCTGGATGTGAAACATGTGTGTCTCTTTTCATGTTTAGGTGAGAACCATTTATGAACAGGGTGAGGGTGTTGCCTCATTGTTTAAGAAGTGTTCACACCCAGCAGGTAAAAAACAGTTTCACTCTCCACATAGACACACCTGTATTTAACTACTACCATGCAACTTGCCTACAGTCACTTTGCCTGTAGAAATGATGATATGTTATGTCAGTTCAGCTCATACTTGTGTCAGTACACCTTATTGGTGGTACACGTGAAGATCGGTGTTAGAATTGGCCTTCAGTAAAGATGCTTGTCGTGGGAGGCGACTAACTGGATCGTGGGTCAGGCTCTGCTTTATACATTTCATCTTATCCCAATTGCGTAGATCGATTCTCATGCTGTTGATCACTGTATTGTTAGGTCCAGGATTATTTTCATGAGAATCAATCAATGCAATTGGGATATGATGAACAGTAATCAACCAAGTCAAGGAGCCTGAACATCAATCCTGTTAGTTGCCTCTTCACGACAAGCATGGGTTGCTGAAGACCAATTATAACCCGATCTTCAGGTCTAAAAAGACACCAGGTGGTCTGACTTGCTGACATGGTCCCAAGTCCAAAGATTTATGCTCATGATGTCAATCACTGGATTATTTGGACTGGGCGACTCCATTTTTCACAAACCACCTGAATATTACCCAGTCTGATCTTAAACAGGGACCAAAATCACTTTTCCAGAAAAATATATAATGTATGGCATATTAGCCATGTATTACATGCATTGCATTAATCTGCCATATCAAACTTTGGGTGTCAAGCTGGCTGTGTCCCAGTGAGTGGGCGACAGTTGCTGTTTTGGTTTAGATATAGATGACCTCCCTCCGTGTTGTAGTGGTTAGAGCGTCTGCCCGGAGAGCGGAAGGTCGCGGGTTCGATCCCCGACCGCGTCATACCAAAAGACGTTAAAATGTGGTACTTGTTGGCCCCTGCCTGGTGCTAGGCATTAATGAGTACAACAAGGACTGGTCGGCTCGGAGTCAGTATAATGTGTCTGAGTGGGGTATTCATGCTTCACTGCGGCATGGTATCTCAGTGGGCTAGCACTATAAAACCAGCTTCAGTCTGGGCTAGTACAAGCAGCCGCACATACACATACACACATGCACGTCGTCATATGAGCGAAATATTCTCAAGCACGACGTTAAACCCAATTTCACCTCACCTTAGATATAGATTATACACTAAACATCCATCAGGTACCTTGGAAATATGTAGGCCCACGTTAACAACTGAATGGTGGGACTTGTCAGTCATTCTTTGTATCACCATCACGAGGACGAATATAAAATATATGGCTGAAGGTGAAATCGTAGACGAAACCCTACATTATCACATGATTATTATCAAAACAATTATGAATACAAATACATTTATACAAATAAACGAGTGTAGACAAGATACGGGAAAATATTCGTTTACTCTTCAATCACTTTTTTTCCCTTAGCTGTCCTTAGTTTCGTATCACTGAAAACAAAGCATAACAACTTCGTTATACACAATCCAAGTGATTATCAAAATTAATATGTTTACAAAATACTATTATTAGTTATTCATACACGTCTACGAAAACACCGCCTACGAACCAGTCTGCGCTACGAATCCACCGCGTCTACGAACTGGTTCAGCCTATACGAAAACACATCTCCCAAACATGTGCCTCTTATGCCAATATACAAACATCGCTGTTTTGTATATTATGAAAACATGAAGGGGAGACAAATAAATGGTCGGTATCTTATGTGTCAACACGTCTGATGTTAAAGATGTGTTTACTTGTGCACCAATGTTTGAGATTAGTTCAGCTAGTGAATGTCTGATGTTGCGTGTTCATTCCCAAGTTGAAACTGAAAAGTTCACCGGGAACCAGTCAGTAAAAGAATTATGTGTAAAACCAACAAACAAATAGCAATATGGTGTAATTAGCAGCTAGGTGTATTCTGAAACTAACTAAAAGTTCACAAATCAATACAAAAGTATCACCATGGAAGTGCAAAATAGCGCGGCAGTACATGTTCAAACGTAATATACGACAATTCTCAGCAACAGAAATTCAACTTTGCAACTGTAAACCCAAGCAGGGTAAAGAAAACCAACCATTACGCTGGTCCTCTGTGACACATAGACTTCGTCTCTCACTTTAACCACACGTCTCAAAACCATAGGCCCCCTGACCTGCGGGTTTTCTGCGGGTCAGAAAATCGATATAACTGTAGTCCGTTTGGCTCAAAATCCGACCGATGAATTGCAGTCTAACTCGTAAACTACTAAACATATAATACTCGATGAACACTGATCGTAATCATAACATCAGACCAGCTCTGTGATTTGTTTTTTCAGAATTTGTGTACTAAAAATTTAAAGTTGTTTGATTAGCAAACTATCATTAAAAAGTTTGATAAAGTTCACTATTTGTTACGAGAGAGGAGCTGCAAGAGAGAACAATCCAGGTGTGCGAGAAAGTATAGTGTCGACAGCACAGCACAGTTGATTCAATAACTTTCTCGGCACTTGTGCACGTGCTCCGTACACAATCTGACTGTTCCTCTCTTTGCAGCCTCCTTCATAACAAATAGTGAACTTTGTCAAACTTTTAAATGATAGTTTGTTAAACAGCTTTTTATTTTTAGTAGGCTACATAAATTTGCAAATAATCACAGAGTTGGTCTGATGTTTTGATTATGATCAGTCTTTCATGGAGCATTATATGTCTAGTAGTTTTCGAGTTAGATTACAATTCATCGGTCCGATTTGAGCCAAACGGACTATAATCTCCGGATTAGTTATCCAGCCCCCAAACTATATCTTATCGTATATCATATAGTAGGGGGCTGGATAGCAAAACCGGGGCGAAGCTTATTGACTTTCACACCCGCAGTGGGAGCTTATGGTTTGAAACGTAATGTTTGATGAAGCAAGGGTTATCTCCCTTTATATTTCTAATCCAGACTTCACAGATTCTCCAATTCATAGTCTAAATTTAGCCCACCACTGCCCCTCACTGACTATCTACAGAAGCAAGATTAGCAAGTGTGTTGTGTAACGCTGCGCTCAGCATTATACCAGCTGTATGGCGGTGGTCTATAAATAATGAAGCCAATCCTCTCCATCCAGTGATCAACAGCATGGAGCATCGTTCTACTCAATTGGGATACGTTGACATGTGTCTCACATTATTGTTTTTTCTCTGGTCGTTCGGTTAAGCACACAGATTAAACCGGTTCTTTGTCTGGCTGATTGTGGCATGTATGGCTGGCCCGTTCAAGTTTCCTAACTGAAAATGAAAATATTGTCGCCTAGGTTTAAAAGGGACATGATCTAGAGCAAAATGTTACCCGGGACTGGCAGTTGCTTTGTTATTGTTTTCTCCCGCGACTACCCGGATGATATCCCAGAATTTTTGACTGGGTTTGCGATCTCTGCTGCGCTACCAGCAAGCGCAATTGGTAGTAAAAGGGCGTATCCTTACTTTGACCACCAAAGGTGAAATTGTTTCGTCTTGGAATTAACTGGAAAATGTAGCTATCTTTTACCTATTAATATTTGCGTCTTAATTGTCATGACAACAAATGAAAACATTTCGAAGTTTAATTCTTGTCTGCCAGTGATAAAAGAAGAAGTTAAGCTTGAAGAAAACGAGAAGTCAATATACGTCTTTATATATTTGCCTTATACCTAGCATAAATAAGTTATTATTATTATACTAATATGTAATACCTAGACCTTGTGCATGTTTTTGTCTCGCATCGAAGAACTTAACGGCGAATAAAAAGAGGTGGAAATGATTCGGATGAATGCTGCAATCCTATAATCCTAGCATAATTCATATATTTTTCTGCACTTTGGATCTGTATTAACAGTACACAATGTGTTTTAGTGAATTTATAAATGACTGTAATATCGAAGAAGTGTAATATCGAAAATGAAGTGAATGATTCTGTTGAATGCTACAACAAATGAATAAAATGAAAATACAAATTTCAAAATTAAAACTGACTAAAGTTATACCAATGATATCACTGCTATTTATTACCTTGTTCGAAGAGTGTATCCATCAATATCACATAAAGGAACGATATGCCATTCATCTGCAGTCAGTCTAAGTAAAGTTAGTCTCAGGATCATTCGTTACACCTTTAGCTAAACGTAGGCACAGTATCATTTTCGATATGCTATAGCAGTGTAACGAATAATACTGAACCTAACTTTACTTAAACTGGCCTTGCAGGCTGACAAAGAATCCTGTTCCATGGCATGTGTCATTTAACAGTCTAATATGGACCAAATGTATATAACGTTATAACTGGAGTGCTAGTTTCTCAACTAGTATAATCTCACATAGTGTGTCCTCCCGATCTGTTAGACAGTCGGAGAAGTGTTTAGACAGCTTTAAGCAACAAACTTTTAAGCTGAATGCACAACGAAGTAATTACATGTTACCTTGGATTATGGAATAATCCTTACAGCATGATAAAAACTTTAAATATTTAAATTATTTATTGATATCTAGCAGGATACACTAATATATGCTTAAATCCCTTGAATCATTAGATTCACTTCTCTTAAAGAAGTCCTGACAAGATGTGGTACCCACAATTGGCAGATGGAAGTTGGAAGGACAGGATTATCAAGTGCCATATGATAGTTCCCATGGGGGTAGATGCAGGGCGCATCTGGGACTGACCAATAAATCTGACCTGACCACCGCAATCCGTCCAGTTCATGGAAGCATAACAAGCATGAGTCGGGATAAAGAAAAAATATGTAATTTTTCTGAATAAAATTGATATTATGTACTTATCCTGACTCATGATAATCAACCTCCCAACCTCCCCACTAATAGCGCCCGGTTCCGCGGTAAATCCGTGTATGAACAATGCGGAGAGAGTGACAGAAACATGGTTAGTCATGTGATTGTTTTGGCTGGGAAACT